TAATTAAGAACTATTTTAAAAGTAGTAACTAAATTTAGATTTTATTTCATGGATATAGTGTTAGCACTCTACATTAAGATTAATTACAGCTCATTTCCTGTGTTTAATGTTGTGTAAAAATGGGTGCAAAAAAAGCATTATTTCCAAATCTAAAAACTGTTCCAAGTAAAAAAAGTAAATCATGATTTAAAATGGTGATGTATTTGATATCAACAGTACATACTGAACTTCCACTTAGCAGAGGATTGTATGAAGCACTACCAAGAAACAGCTGACAAGTTGTGTGGTGTGGAACAGGTAAGTCATGTGACTTCACACATTATCTCAAAGAACGTTATAGTACTCTTATTTCTTGTACTATGTAGTGTATTTTCTGACGTTCACAGCTATTATCAGAAATCATTACAATCATTGGTACAGTTGAACCTCTATTAAAGGACCCTTAATTGAGTKGTCATATTCCATTAGGTGTCACACATGAATCACCAAAAGCCAACCTCTATTAAACGGTCAACCTCTATTAAACGGTCACCCTTCATTAAGCGGTCACTTATTAATTCCACAAAAGGCGATTCTCGTATTTATTTAATGGCCTCTATTAAACGGTCACCCCACATTAAGCGGTTACTCATCAAGCCGATTCTCGTACATATTTAAAGTAAAACACGACCTCTATTAAACGGTCAAGCTCCATTAAACGGTCACGAAGTCTTTCCCCAAGGGTGACCACTTGATATAGGGTTGACTGTGGAGGTCTTGCCTTCTTCACTATCATGAGAAAACTGTTGATGTTGCAGGACTTGGCTACAGGGTTGGATAATAACCATGAGAAAATCAAAGACCCAATGAGAAACATTGTGCCATTGTTACTGGACAAAAATGTCAGGTAAAAAGAGTGTAAAATCTACGGCTACATGGGGATTGCCATCCATTTAGCCTAGTTGACCCTCTACGAACGAGCCCACTTGTTAGCTAGCAACCACATTTTGACTTTTCTCATTTCGATTCTCATAAAAGCTCTTGGAAAAACGGTCTCTCGTAAGGGACCACCATTGAGGTTAAAATGATTGAAACTAGCGGTAAACTAGTGTGAGATGCGTTGGTGTTTCTAAAGAAACAGTTGTTTAAAAAGATAAATTTTACACCGTAAAAAAGTAGGTGAAACAACTTACTGACGTTTCGGACGGCGTCAATCCTTCGTCGGCCATCTTTTGACTTTTCCCGTTTAGATTCCAATATAAGCTCTTGGAAAAACGCTCTCTCGTAAGGGACCACCTTTGAGGTTAAGAAAAGTTGTTAAGCCAGCACACAAAAAAGATGCATGATTTCTTATCACTTCAGAAAGTGTTTACAATATAAACTATACTTGGGTTCCCAGTTATTTACAAATCGTCCCTGTGTGAATGCCGAGTGGTTGTTGTCTTATGGGGTTTTTCTCTCGTTGGGGACCACCTTCCATGAAAGCGAGCACTTAGAAATAATTAGCCGTATTRATAGTATTTTCTAACGTCCAATCTATTTCTTTGCAGCATTCATGATAAAATTAGGATCATCCTTCTATACATTTTGTTTAAAAATGGTGAGATAAAGTGTTTTTAAGATTTGATTCTTTTTTAATATTAATCGCTGAGAAATTTGCTTGAATCGATGTACAAACTATGCTTGCTGACTGTGATTTTTTCCAGGAATTTCAGAGGAGAATTTGACTAAACTTTGTCAACATGCACAAATACCTCAAGCCGATAGGTAAGGTAGTCTTTTTT